ACACGTAACATTCGAAGAATCTCGGCTTTCATCATTAGGTGTCATAATTCTCCCTTGAACTCGAAGAGCAGAGTTGCAATGGTTTAAATTGTTTAATCTGGTTAGGGTTTTTTTAGCAATGTTGTTTTCTACGGGATGGGGTTGCTGACCCTTTGCCCAACACTCCTCCTTTACCCTGGCTTGGGCCCAACAATAACCCTAGAAGGGCCACAGGCTACAAGGTCAAAGAGAGCTATGTGGTGTTTATTGTTGTGACTGGTAGGTTCGTTTATCGATTGCACTTTACAACTAAGCCTAGTATATATCTTCTAAAATATTTGAAACTAAAAAGTAGCAGAAAAAATGTTCAATGAATAAATTACTGATTAAATCAGTAATTCTCCTAAAATTGATGCACTTCATTGCTTGGACCATTTTTCTTTATTTCTATGCGTTAATGAAAAATCTAATGAATCAAGTTGATTTTATAATTATTTCTTATTAATAAAAAGTACATTACTTTTCATCTCTGGATTTTTCTATCCTAAAGTTAGCAAATGCTATACAAATCAATGTAACCAAGTTCATGCGAATTATCCTTGATTTGATCAGCAAAGTATGAAAATCCATATTTTTATTTACCTGACAAGTGAAATAGATAATATTTACAAGATAGAATCTTGACTATTCGACACTGAAAACAGAATGTACTGATCGGTCCACTTTCAACCAACCACGATCACCGGAAAAATTTGTGTCAGAATATTCTAAAATATATTCTGCGCAAGATCTGATGTGTTTACTGTTACCTTTTTGTTGCTTGGATTTATTGAAATATATATTGTCCAGGTTTGGTAAGAGTTGAGTGAAGTATGATGTCCATGAATACTGTACAGTAAAGAAACATAATAGAGGGCTACTTAGATAACTTTTTGATTACGAACTGGTAGTTGACGGACCATAGAACACTAAACAGCTGTTTCAAGCTGGTGTAAAACCCTTTATCAGGACAGATTATTGACTCTAAGTGGTATAATCAGCTTGAAAGCTTCCAATAATTACGTATTCTCAGCTTGTATTAGTTAATTTTAAACAATAATATTTTTCCTGGTACTAGTAAGTAGTATAATTCTATTCACTGATTTTTGGAACGGGTAAAATATAGGTAAATGAATAATCAATAGTAATCTACAATTCCAATTAAACCAGAATAGTAATTCATATTCCCTAAGGATCATCTTCCTTGAATTAATTAGCATAATGTGAAAGATGTAAAACAATCTACTAATTGCTTAAAAAATCGTAAAGTCGATATCAACAGCAATTTTCGAAACATTTAATGAACTGGTATCAACAAGTTTTCTGCTAGATTGAAACATTGTGATCAAGTTCATGAAACTATCGAGATTGAGGTGAATGTTGACGATATCTCTTAATCGGTTTGAGTGTGGTACTCAACTACTATTAATGGAAAATATATGGTACTTGATAAAATACGATTACTATCAAGTCTTATGCTGGATCTTGGAGGCACTTAATATAGGTACTGGTGAAAAATCTCAAACCAAACATAATGGTATGTTCTCTAAGTGTTCAAAGCTAATTATGGATGAATTTTTCTTATATTGGATTACGTTCAACCGAAAATTTAAATAAAAATATCTTAGGTAAAGATAACTTCATCTAATTATAGTTTATACAACAGGACATTATAAAGGGTATGGATGAGGGGAAGAGATTGTTATAACGGTTGGTTTTACACGTATAGGACGTAAATTTACCTTGAACGAATATCTACACTAGATTCCCTCCCAGTGTCTATTCGACAAGACGTCAACACAACTCAGATCAAGAACACGTGATTAGCCTGACTAGAACGTAAATTATCTCCACACCAAAACCCGACACAATCCAACAGCAATGAACAATCAATAATAACAATTATAAGGATAGGGGAATATATAACTCGCCTGACGCCTGCCAGACTATCCACATGTCTGAATAAGCAGACAACCAATCATTCTCGCCCACACATCAGAGATAATTAACCCTAACTATCCCCTCTAAGTATAAATTTATTCAAGAAATACATACTTAAATGATAACGTCTGGATCCTTGTGGAAACTTACTTCAAGAAAGACTTAGTGATAAAAATATAAGAAATGTACTAGCATTCAACGGTTTTGAAACTTCCAAACAAATCAGGTACTTTTCGGAACTCAGCTAAAATTATTTCTTCGGGATTTATTCAGTTATCATAAGTTGTAATGACTTGTTCTTCCGCGTTGTTGACGTTAACGACTGAATTAGATCAGCTTTCGATAGAATATGGACTGTTTAAGTAGATGTGTCGATGAACCTTAAGTTAACCGAAATGTGTGTTCTGTATTCTATCACCAAAGACAGTCCAAAAATATTATGAAATACTTAGTAATTTTGCATAACGATATTGAAATCCTTACCGATGCAATAAGAGATAAGCAACCATAAGAGCAAGAAACGATAAACAAACTTACGTATCTTTAAGAACAGTTTTCAAAAGATCACTTATAAACCTCGATTCCCACTGTAGTCATTCAAATAAAGTAGACAGGCGAAACCAACATTTATCGTTTTGACCTATGCAGTGAAGCTACTGTCAGTCTTCAACGTCACGTACAACCGGAACCTCAACATAATACTTGATTTGATGATCATTTCTCGCATTTATAGAGTAAAATACAAAGCACTGGTCCTTCTGGAGCACAACTGTTAAGAAACCAGTACAAACATACATATCTAAACCTAACCTATCAGTTATTACGTAATAAAACAAATTACAGAAAGTGGTAACTCATACCTTGAAACCACAATGAAAACCTGTAAGCCATGTGTAATAGTCTGATTTGGAACGTTACAAATACATCTAAATGGATTTTTCCTCCCAAAGATTTTGTCAACACAATGGAATGATATTTAAGAAGTGTATATTCATAATTGAATAATTTTTTCTGGTAAGCGTTTTTTTAGCGAGTTAGTTTTCTACGGGATGGGGACGCTAACCCTCCTCCTTTACCTGGCTTGGGATCGGCAGTAACTCTGGAAGAGCTACAGGCGGAGTATCAGGAAAAGTCTTTAACCGAGTTTTGCTGAACCGGATGAAAGGTGCAGTAGACGCCCAACTTCGAGATCAACAAGCTGGATTCCGTAAGGATCGGTTGTGCACAGACCAAATTGCGACACCACGGATCATCGTCGAACAATCAATTGAGTGGAACTCGTCACTGTACATCAACTTCATTGACTATGAAAAGGCATTTGACAGTGTGGATAGGAGGACGATATGGAAACTTCTTCGACACTATGGAGTTCCTGAGAAGATTGTCAACATTATCCGGAACTCATATGACGGGCTACAGTGCAAAGTAGTGCATGGAGGACAGATGCATTCCAAGTAAGGACTGGAGTCAGACAAGGGTGTTTACTCTCTCCCTTCCTCTTTCTTCTGGTGGTCGACTGGATTATGAAGACCTCGACATCTGAAGGAAAACACGGAATACAATGGACAGCTCAGAATCAATTAGACGGTTTGGACTTTGCAGACGACCTAGCCCTCCTATCGCATACACACGAACAAATGCAGATAAGGACAGCCAGTGTGGCAGCAGTCTCTGCATCAGTAGGCCTCAACATACATAAGGGGAAAACCAAGATCCTCAAATTCAAAGCGGAGAACAGCAATCCAATCACTCTTGATGGCGAAACTCTGGAAGATGTAGAATCCTTCACATACCTGGGAAGCATAATCGATGAACAAGGAGGATCAGATGCAGACGTAAAGGCAAGGATTGACAAAGCAAGGGCCGCATTCCTCCAGTTGAAGAACACATGGAACTCAGAACAACTTTCAAACAATATCAAAGTCACAACCTTCAATACGAACGTCAAGACAGTCAGTTCTACTGTACGGAGACGAAACTTGGAGAACTACTACAACCACCATTAAGAAGGTACAAGTATTTATAAATAACTTTCTACGCAGGATACTCAACATTCGTTGATCGGATACCATCAGCAACAGCTTCTGTGGGAGAGAAAAACCAGCTTCTGGATGAAGAGGAAATTAGGAAAAGACGATGGAAATGGACAGGACATACATTATGCAAATCATCAAACTGCATCACGAGGCAAGCCCTAACTTGGTATCCTGAAGGGAAGCGGAAAAGAAGCCGAAGAACACATTACGTCGGGAAATAGAAGCAGATATGTTAAGGATGAATAAGAACTGGAAGGAGCTGGAAAGATTGCCCTGGACAGGGTTGGATGGCGAATGCTGGTGAGCGGCCTATGTTCCTTCACGAGGAGTAACAGGCGTAAGTAAGTAAGTAATATTCATAATTAATATTTTATTTTTCAACTGTAAAAGCAATAAGAAGTCATCACAGAACACACAAACCCCCTAAAAAATTTACAGTTAATACGTTTAGGGTTTTTTTTAATCAACACTTAGAAAGTAAAAGAGAACATGATCGATATTATTTTAGATGTAAATGCCAACACACAAAACAGACAAAGTGTCTGAATGTAATGTGAAAAAAGAAATTCAAACATATGAGAACAGTTCTATTCCCATCTCTCTTCTCTTGACGACCCGTGTTACAAATGATGAAAACATAAATATGCATATACGAAGTATTTCAAGAAACTTTTACTTAGTAGATAGAATCTACTACTGAAAAGCATATCTAAAGTAGTAGTAGTAGTAGTAGTACATGTAGAAGAAAAATACAATGAAATAACCCAATCAATATCCATCGTTTGTTAGCGCGTTGTGATGATATTTATATCGTGTCAGAAAAACTATTATTATTCCATACGGAATGAAAAGAAACTACTTTTGTTTTCTGTATAATGATGTTGCTGATATATATATAAAAAAATTCCATGATCATTTTTAATTATCATAATTGATAGATATAAATAAATCAATAAATATTTCTTGCAAAATAAGAAAGAAAAATTGATTAGTTTGTTTATTGATTTAAATTTCCCAAATATAATTTATTGTTATATCACCACCACTTGGTATATCTAATTTTACATCACCTTTAACTTCAGATTTGACTAAAGAAATTGAATTACCACGTTGACTATTCAATGATTGAATAAGCACTCGACTATGACCAAGGAAATGAAGTTGGAATTCATATTTCAAATCATTATTAATAGTGTCTTCAGTGTCTTTATTGTTTTCATCATCAGTAGGAGTTTGATGTGTAGGTTCAAGTTGTAATGTACCATCTAAACTAGCTGCCCATATGGAATATGTTGAATTTGGATTACCTTAAAAGAGGAAAAATATTTTTTTAAAAATAATATAGAAATTCTTCCTATGATACTATATGATGTGTTACATTTATTGTATGAAACATGGTGTGAAAAGAGAAACAAAGAAGCTAAGACAAACAACGGAAGCTATTGTTCGGGACGTTATTTCACTTAATTCTCGTGCGTTTGTCAACCAAACAGGTGATAGGATAATTTTCGCCTCTTTACCCAAGGCAGTTAGTCAACTTTGAAGTCACACGTTTCTAGCCTCTAGGTTGAAGCAGCTAACCTATCGTGTCAAGGTCTTAATCTACATTGAGATATGTTATCTTCTGTATATTAGTGGGTAGACAGATCAAGGACGTAACAAAGTGCTATTGTTCAGTGAGACGAGGATGGTATGGAACCTGACAGTAAAATAATACATATTATCCAAACAAATAAGGGAATGGGAATTGTGTGCAAATGAATTATAAAGTGATGGCAGTTAAAACCAATCAGTAGTTGGATATTAGTTAGTAGCAGAATCCAGGACGCATGTTTCGTCCCACTTAAGAGTTGTTAGTTGGATCTACCTTCTTCATTTGTGTTAATGTTCACAATGAGACTAGAACTCAATATATTTCTCCTTAAACTTCAAAGAGGTATCCATTGAGCTGCTAAGTCCAGACGTCACCAACATGTGGAACGGGTATGAATTTTATCTATATGGATTTATATTTTCCCTGACAAGTCCCAAATAAGATGAAATACGTGCATGAGGTAGTGAGAATCTACTTGACTTAAGTTTAGTGGTATTTGGTGTACCTGTAATTCTCCCCGTGAGATCTGAACACACACTATCCAGTCCTACAGTTTGTGATGTTACCACAGGGTTAGTCGGGATGTGAATAGGCTCACGAAGAACTGAATCGTATTTACAATTGACTGATCACTAAGCAGTAACCGATGTTGTGTTTGCCAAGTATTTTAATAATAATTGAATTCTATCAGATAAGTCACAATAAATGCATTAGTCTAAATGACTCAGCATTGCATGCACGATGCTGAGATGTGTTATATGGTATTTTGACATCTAAGTTATATCTTTCTTCCCTAACCTACTCATCTTATTCAAAATAACATTGTATTTCAGAGGTTATCTAGTTACTCCGTATATGTAGAATGAATGACTCATTCATTTTAGTTAGTCTAGGTAACAATTTGATATAAGTTCTATTTCTAAAATCCCTACATCTAACAATAATTTTACTCTCACGTAGTGACTATTCATCTTATTGGATTTACAAACGAAGAAAACTTATTCAGCGCCATATGTACTTATTAAATTCGTTACTTTTCGTTGAACTCATGAACCGATTTAATTTAGACTACGATCGGAAACCTGAAAGCACTGTCCTAGAATGAGACTCTTCAGAGTAGTGAGGATCCATGATCCTGTCACCGGGATTCGAACCTAAGACCTTCGGTCCCGCATGGAAACGCTTAACTCCTAGATTACTGAGCTGACAGTCAATGGTGTTTTAATTTCACTATCCACATAGACAAAATTTTTAAAACAAGTAATAAGATCTAATGTATAGAAGGAAATATAACTGTTTGGTGAAAACCTTTTAATATCATGTTAAATATTGATTTGTTGAAGAATTACTATTAATATGCCTGTTTATCCTGATACTAATATGTTACTAGTAAACTTAGTCGTTCATATGCTTACCTGGAATGTGATAGTTTGTTTCAAAAAACTATCTCAAATATTGGTTTTATATTATTGTCATTATGATTATTAAATTTCGAATCGATACGTAAAAAAGAATAGGAAGATATGAATTATCAGACAGATAGGCAGGGAGATATACTGACTGACCAATTTACAAGAAGATTGGACTTTAAAAATCAAGTCACTCAATAGTTACAAATAAATGTCAGACAAAATATTTCTAACACAATGTAAACAGTCGTAAATTATACTAGTCCAGAAGTTTATTGATAAAATAGTGAAACTGATCACTATTCTAACTGGGATGATAACTAGGACGTCAGATTTTCAGAGGTTATCTACAATATTGATTGTTGAATCTAGGAATTTTTTTCAAGATTTACCTCCAACCTTAAGATATACAATTAATAGATCTGAGGTGTGATTGATTCAACAGTATATTTGGGAATGTTGTCGCTGTGTTGTACAGATTCTGACAAACAGATCCATTAATTGACATGTACAGAAACTACCAAATATTGATTTTTTTTAAAAAAAAACTTGAATTCTGTCTAGATTTAATCTAGGAAAGTTCAGATAAATGATTAGCAATGGTTAAGGGACAATCAAATAATAAGACAAACTAGAAGGAAATAGTTGTTCAATATATATAACACGCTGTTAAACATCCACAGTACTTCTCAAAATCTATGTATATGAATACAAGAATATATAATTAGTGGGCGATAACATATTTCAAAAATGGAACCTAACTAAAAACAGTTTTATGTCATGTGATTTGATCAGGTTTATTATCAAAAAATTGAAGAGGGGCGTAGTCTAGTAATTACAATCAAAATCTAGTAGTTATATGGAATTACATCCAACTCCGGTTACTTCAACATAATGCTTACTTGATCGAACTATTAAAAAGATGAAAGACGACTAATCAACGAAGATATCTGATCCAGCGTTATAACATCAATTTCAGAACAGGACAGAAAAAATCGACAAAAACATTTGAAAAACTTTATTTGTTCAAGAAAAATTGATGAGGTATTGTTATCAACTAGAAAATTGACCATGAACAGACAAACATAATTTAAATAGGTTTTGTGGAGATTCTTAGAAATTTCACTGGTCTAGCTTCAATTGACTCATGATTTCAACGAGTGAAATTTCTAAAAATCTCCACAAAACCCATTCTGATAATAATAATCACCTGCTCACTAGTGACTGACTTCAGGAGACACTCCTGGAGTTCTAGTGAGAAGTCGTTACCAGTGGAGTCCAACCAGGTCTATTGTGAGATAAGAACTTACTGAAGACAATGGTGTATGGTGGCTCAACTTCGTGGATTGGTTGAAGTTAGACATTAACACCCTTGGATGCCGGCTCAGTGGTCCAATGGTCAAGTGCTCGCGCGCGAAACCAGTAGGTCCTGGGTTCGAATCCCTCGGGGTGCGGGATCGTGGATGCGCACTGCTGAGGAGTCCCATACTAGGACGAAACGGCCGTCCAGTGCTTCCAGGTTTTCTATGGTGGTCTAGCTTCAATTGACTAATGATTTCAACCAGTATAATTTAAATAGCTGATTTTCCTTCAATAAGATTAATGATAACAGAGTAGAAGTTTACTGTTCAATATAAATATCACATGGAAACACAATTCTTATCCTTAATTCATTAAAAGTTACTTATTTATCCAAGGATATAATTATCAATCTTAGAAAAAATGACGAATAAAACCAGCTTGAAAAAAAAGAAAACCATAACTATACGCATATAATGTTATTTGAATTAGATGAGAGGTAGAGAGTATGGAAAAGCACATTCTAAATAAAAGCAACTAACCATTTGTATATCATATAACAATATAAATGTTGTATTCTAAGATGAAGTAAATTTATTTGACTATTTCAAAGGTATATTTTAATTATTAGTAGTAGTAGTAATAAATGATCGAAAATTTAGTTTTCAAGTTGCGTAAAAGATATTATCATCTTGTTATGCTCAAAGATATTCATGATTAGTAAGTTATGGAAGTTCAGAAAACCGCGCTAACTAACAAGACTTCGACGGTTCATGTACATAATGCGGAAACTGAACAATCAGTTGTAAACAGTAGACTTACATTGTACAAACAGGAAATTAAACTGTGTATGAATCAGAAAACAAGAAGCAGTTATACTCAATACACATATTCACCTATTATTTAAGATTTAAAAGATACTATTTGTTCATGTAATTCACACAATCATCTGAGGCATAGTTTAAATAAATTAATTTCGAAAAATATGAAAATCAATTTAGAGATAAGAAACTCTTATGTGTAACGCACTTGTTAAAATAAATAAATATGACTGAGAATACTATTACATTAAACACATACACTTCTATGATAAATTTATCGATAGTTCAATGATCTAGACACCATCTGGAACGAAATCAATCATATTTGCATAGGTTTCCTAATTGTTTATTTTTCATAAAAAATTATGAATATCTTATCGATCTTGGTATTATTTACTGACCTCAAACTCATTTTCTCAGTATCCATGTCAAAAATGTTCAATTCTTATGTAGCTTACACGATATATTACTCTTAACTGAAGTATTATATGTTAACCATTGAATATCGATTAAGTAGTCTTAAAGTTAATCGCTTGCTCTGATACTTAAACGTTCTGGTTCTGATCTTCTGTGAAGTGTTACATCCTCTCTGCTGAGGGATCTCGTGCCAGTACGAAACAGTTACCCAGTGTTGCTTAGTTTTTTTTCATCGTTGTCTACTTAATATTAATATTAACTACAAAATTTTTAAAATTTCTAGGGACCTCCTCTGTGCTTTCAATTGGAGTTGATTTTTTTTCTTTTTGAATTGTAGAGAAGTGTGATGACCTTAGAAGTACTTCTACATTATTGCTTGCTGTCTATCTGTCTATCAATATAGAATAAATTTAATCAACGGATGCACCTATCACTGACGGCATAACGATTGAAAATTGCATAAACGACTAAGAAGATGGTCATATTTCGATCTATAATATATTCGGACTATGCACATGTCTTATATTATTGTTATGAAAACTGAACCACCACTACCACAACAACAAGAAGCTGAATATTATTTAAATTTAAATAAAAGTCGGGCTCGAGTCTCCCTTGCGGGATCGTGGATGCGCACCACTGAGGAGTCCCATACTAGGACGAAACGGCCGTCCCGTGTTTCCAGGTTTTCAATGGTGGTCTAGCTTAGATCGACTCGTGGATCCAACTGTGAAAATATGATAATCTCCACAAATCCTCATACTGATTATAAAAGTTTTATAGTTTTTTCACAAAAAATAAATCGAAAACCGATTTGATGGACTTAAAATTCATAAACACAATTATATTTGAAGTTACTTTTATCGCATACTAGTCTATAATAAAGTAGAAAGTTGTTGCGTCATTAGTAAGGTTACAAAAACAAAAAATCTAGTCGGAAAATATTTTCAATTATTGAATACAAGTTATATAATAATTAGAGTAATAAAAAGAAAAATAAAATAGGAACGATATATGGGGGAGAGAGATGTGGAAGATAATTGTTCACTTGACGAATATGAAGAATCCTAATAGATCAAATCACGAATTAATCTTAGTTAGACCAACATTGAAGACTTGGAAGCGCTGGATGACTATTTTTTCCTAGTATGGGACTCCTCCATATTACATACCTACGATTCAGCCATAGGGAATCGAACCCAGAACTTTCAGTCTCGAACACGAATGCTTAGTCTTTAGACAACTGAGCCCATATCCAATAGATCATGTACTTACCAGTGACTATCTTCAAGATCTAACTACGGGAGTTCTAGTGAGAAGCCGTGACAAGTGGAGTTCGATTCGTGTCGGGTGTGAAACAGTTATTCATTGCAGGCAGGGTTGAGCGGTATCGTGAAATGTATGAAACCAAACATTAAAAACATTTGGATGCTTACTCAATGGATAAAAGAGTTTATTTTCCAAACTGAAGGTCTTGGGTTCGCTCCTCGTGTGCACGGTTGAGGATGAACACTACTGAGGAGTCTCATACTGGGAAAAAATATTCATCTAGTGCTTCCAGGTTTTCGATGGTGGTCTAGCCGAGATCAATTTGTAATTTAAAGTTATGAAAATCCTAAAATCTCCATAAATATCCCTCTGCGAATACACGAGAGAGATAAACGTACGTCAGAAAAACAGGAAAAGTAAGAAGGAGATTTAGAACTATGGTAAAATGGAAGACTGGACAAATTACATTTGAGCTCAGAGACTATAAGTGAATTTACGAATTACTAAAGCCTCAGAGATATGAACGAGTGAAGTTTTGGCAATTTACTGGCTTCGGATCGGTCTCGGTGTTCAGAAACAATATATTCACTCCTTTTAAATTTTTTGGTCTTTTTTAATTGTCTCGATACAGCTCTGATGAATGACGCAATAAGTTTGTTATGTTGCATTCATTCTGCTTATGCGTAAACGCCTTAGTGGATCGAGAGAACTAAAGTTGATGCTTGGTATGTGAATACCGTAAACATTCTTTAACATGATTAAGATGCTGTAAACCTGTGACAGTTATTTCAAATTACTTTTTAAAATACAATCATTATTATACTTCACTATTTCAGTTTAAAAAATGTATACAAATGTGTCACTATAGCCTAAAATCTCTTATCATACATGGACTACAATTATCTGACAAACTTCAACCAGTAAGTCTATACTAACCGACACAATCTGAACTAATGATGAAATTCTCTAGCTTGATTACCATTCTAACCAGCATACCAGCATAACTAATAGTTGTTCGTATCGTGTGACCCGATGAACTTCTTAAAATGAGGCCATTTTATTTGTCCAACAACCTTATTAGTTAATACATGAACATAACAAACATCGTAAACTTATAAATAACTTATATACATGTTACGATTCCTCTTACTATGACCCAGCTACTCTCGTTGGTTAGTATTTCTTGGACAGAGCTTCATTTGACAAGTTCCCAAACCAGAACACGGTTGAACGGGAACTTAATTATAACCGAAGTAACAAGGGTGGATGGAAGTTGGAATCACAATAAGAAAAACATTAGTATATTTATAATCAATACATAAGATTCGAGAGACTTCTCCAAGTCTCCGCTAGCGGTGATTGGTTAAGAAGTAGCCATTCGACGTGCTTCCAACACAATCCTGCACGGAACATGCTTTAATCTAATCTATATCGCTAACAATAAGTATATATATATCACAGATCACACAGTATTAAAAGTAGTTCAATTCGAAAAAAAATCACACTTACGAGCAAAAAATTTATAAGTATGCCGTTTAGTTACTCGAATGTAAAATGGTTCATAAGCTACTCCATTTGAATCAAGAATATTTTGTTTACCACGTACTAAAAAACCACCAGTTAATGAAGATAAAAACACAATTGATGTTCTATTCGTTAAAATAATATTGAATAGTTCATCGGATGATGGTAGCTGAGTTTCATCAATTAAACGACCACTTGTAGATACAGCACCAAGTTTACGAGCTGTCAAAGACTGTTCACCATCATTTGACCGAAATACAATTTGACGAATTTGTTTATCATTGACTTTATTCACAGTTAACATTTCAAATAAACTTTCTTGATCTCTAATATTAATTTGGAATAAAAGATAAGATAAAACAGAGTAAAAAGAGAGGAGACAGAGAGTACAGATAAATCTAAATGTCAATAATTCACTTAAACAATCAATTATACAGAATAACATTGAATTCGAATGCGTATCGTCATAAAGGAAATATAATTTCCGTAAGTTGTCTTTGGTAAATAATAGCGCTTTTATATCTCTCTACATCATACATTAACAAAAGGTAGACAAAAAAATTTAAAAGTTTTTCCATACGCTATAAAACGATTCAAGTAGAAATATTTTAAAGTACTATAGATAAATCAACAACAGTTGGAAATACAAACAGAAGGACATGAAAGATAATTTAAAAACAATAATACAGAATCAAATACAATGCCGAACATCAATCGGAAGATTCAAACAACTAATATATAGGACCAGTATACGGTTGTGGAGATTGTTGAATTTTAATTGAGATCATGAACCGATCAATGTTGGACCACTATCGAAAACCTGGAAGCACTGGACGGCCGGTTAGTCCTAGTATGAAGGATGTTTGCGCAGTATCGTGGATTGGTTGGAGTTAGACATAAACATCGTTGGATGATGGCCCTGTGGTTTAGAGGTGGACGTCCGCGCGTAAGACCGAAGGTCCTGAGTTTGAATCCTGCGCGCGGGATCACGGATGCGCACTGCTGGAGAGTCTGATACTAAGAGAAAAAAGTCGTCCAGTGTTCCAAGTTTTCAATGGTGGTTCAACATTGATCGGTTCATGATCTCAATTAATATATGGGAATTGAGATTCATCCTCTTCCAAAGACCAGTGGCTATTTCGACTCAATAGTTAAATGGATTACAATGTGATGGCATCTGAAGCGGGCGATACTGGTTTCTAGTCCTGGAGTGGACGTCAACTCTAGGATGTAGATACATCCGGTTGACGAGTCCCAAAATAGGACGGAGAGCACGTCTTGGATTACATTGCTAGTCACCATACCTTCTGCTTATTCTAAACTAAGTAAAAAAGCTCCTTACTGGTGAACTAATATAGTGGTTGTTAGATTCTTTTCCTAACTATAATCCAAACTCCTAATCCTAACTTTAAACCATAACTCTAACTTAATTCTAGATTTTACCACATAGATCACCTGCATTCTGGTTGGCTAAAAATCGGTTTTAATTATTAATAGTGTGACTGTACGAACTGACTGAAATGAGAAGTTTAAAAATATAAGAAATTATGAATTCACTATTAGTTAAAAGTAAGGACGACTAACTAAAATGACAATACGTCAGATATTTAAATAAAAGAGGAATCGACTAAGACCATATATATAAATAATAATTGCTCCAGAAAAACTTACCCATCTGAAGAAGTATTCTTAACACCAGATGATGAAGCAAGTTTCCATAATTTTCCACTACGAGAACGCAGACGCCAAAATCCGGTTGTTAGAAAGTAAACATCTGAATGAACACCATTAGTAATGGAATGGTTATTATTGATTAAACTTGAATTAGAAGCAGAAGAGTCACTGACTCCACCATCTGGACCAGATAGAGTCGATGCTGGGCTAGATGCTATAGCCTCTAAAGCATTAAAACCCATCCCACCAATATATTCCAACTGAAAAATAGCTGTTTCGTCTAATTCATGCTGATTTGCAGAAATTTCAATACCTTGAAAAAAAAGAGGGAGAGAAAAACAATTACATTATATGATACACATTAAAACCCTATATCTCTATATGATATAGTCAGTTTCTTAATCCTAACGGATTATTTTGTTACTAATAAGTATAGAAAATAAAGAGTAATAATAAATAATGGTAATTTAGAAGTCATAAAATGTGAAATATTCGAAAGAAAAACATGAATAGACAAGGAAAGCTCTCTCAACTGACATCATGTAATGATCGAAAATAGCTAAGAGGAAACAGATTTTCACAGAAGAATCTGTACTGTATTAAGAAAGATGTTTTTATCAGATATTTGTTTTAATACATAACTAATGACTATTGAAAAAGAAAATATGTATCAAAAGTATGGTTTGCTGATAAGACACAAAAATAAATGCACTAAAGATACAATAATTGTGAAGGATTCATAAACACATGATGCCCAAGGCAACAGGAATGTAGGAAATAAAATTTTATAATGAAACATATTTGTATTTCAGATGAAACGAGTACACAAATTCATAATACCAGAATATATTCAAGGTTACGTGGGATACGAGCGCGGTAAATTAATTGATGAAATTAGTCATCTAAAAAATATAATGCCATCACTGCAAAATGATGCAAGATTGCAGTACACTGTTATCTGCTTAGGAATTCATAGACAAAGAGTGGCTTACTAAAAAAACAAAACGAATTATTAAAGCAGCTACAAACTAAAAGAAACTTGTAGTTAGTCAGTGCTGAAAAAAACATTATAAGATAAATAGTTATGAATAAATAATATATTTGTAATATCCCAATGAGTAGAAAATTAGATTTTCTGACGTTTCGTGACTTAGTGTAAGCCACTTCTTCAGATAATAAATAACTAAATCAAATTAATCCAAGTCTATATAGTACAATGGAACAACGAGAATATTATGACACAAGGTCACGAAACGTCAGAAAATCTAATTAGGTCCAATCCCCCGTAATGGAGTCGTGAATTCCTATTTCTGAGGAGTCCCATACTCGAATGAAGCGTCTGTCAGATGCTTCCAAGTTTTCAATGGTGGTTTAGATAATCTCAGTTCATGATTTAAACACAATATATATTTATTAAACTACTTGGTTATTATGAACTGCACATAACACAAATTAACTTACCTTGTTTAACTGATGCGAACTTCCCATTATGCGCTACTATACCAACTTGTAAAGCAGCATGTTCAATTAGAAAGAGTTCTTCTTTACCAATATTTGTATTTGTTTTTACTTTAGTTGTTCCAGGTCCGATTGTGGTCAAATAATGACCTGTTTGATCACGAAAAGCAAATGTACCAGGATTACCTACATAAATAATGAAGTAAAGAAAATGAACAAGCTAGTGGTATATTAAGTTATCTATGGTACATTTAATTGAAACATTGGTACAATGCAAAAATCAAGATTCCTACAAGTATGGTAGCGTGTAGGTCAACCTTATGAAATAAGTCAGTTGTAAGCAGCATATAACTTGGCACAGATGTGCATCGGTTCGAATTGCCATACGCCAATATCAGTATAATGAGATGAAATTCTCAAGACAAATGACATATTAGTAAACGTAGCAACGATAACATTGATATTTGAAAACACTAGACAAAGACAATGTGATTCGAGAAGGATTCGTGGGATAAATAAAGAAATATTTTTAGAACTCGAGGTCTAAGAAAAGACAAGTGAATGTATCTGTGCTATTGTGACTAATTCTGACTCATGTCATCTAGCATTTCGAACCACTAGTTACGATAATTGCGTAAACCACAGCGCCCAAAAAAACATGAGATAAACTTTACTAGGAAAGTTATTTTTCGTAATTGTGTTAGTTATTGATTACTTCTTGCATTACGAAATAAAGATAGTCAATGAAGAATTAAACCTTGCAAGAGTATTCCTCTCCAATTAGAAGACGCTTATGTTAAAGAACCGCTACACTAATATTTTTCCCGGTACCACAACTCTAGTTTTTTCATGAGGTAAATCTTAGATTAACCTGTTTTAGCCTCTTTTTCTAATACCTCTTAGTAGGATCCAAGAGTTGTATGAAACTGCTGGTGTGAGAAGTAAATATTGTTAGGTAGTGTATTTTACACCACATACTAAACAGTACGCCACAAATTCTAGCTTCAGAAAATACGAATGATATAAGTTCTTCTAGACTAGTTGGAATCGCGTTTTAGGTACAATTGAATACGGTAGTCAGATATTTTAGATTACCTAAAATATTATTTAAAGCACTCAGATCTTATCTTTCTGCAAGTAGCAGGCAACTGACATCCAATACTTATTATGCCTGTCATGTAAATTTACCTTCCAGTTTTTTAATCTAATCCTTTATCAATACTACTTTTATCAGGATTATAAAGATTTCTTTATTCCCTATAGAATTTATCACACAATGTTGTTTGTAAATTGTGGCAATATGTATTAATAGATGATTAGGCTAGGTTATATGTTGTAAATATGCATTTTAAAAGTGTTAACACGAAATGCCCTAGTACAGTCGTGTGAAAAGTCCTTTCTTTCACTCTCTTTAAAAATGCTCTCATACGATCATGTACCTAGGATATGTGCCATTGCTCCATTCATGAAGTGGAGTTAGACAGGGTTGCCCAATCTCACCATTCCTCTTCAACTTTGCCATCGATGACACCTGGAAACAGCTCTGATGGATGTAAGTAATGGCGGTGTGGATCTGTTGCCTGGAGAAAGACTTCTCGACCTTGAGTATGCGGATGATATTGTCTTAATATGCGATAATGCCCAAGGCATGCAATCCGCACTTAATCAGTTGGCAATCAGTGTCCGTAGGTATGGTATGTGTTTTGCACCTCCGAAATGCAAAGTACTTCTACAAGACTGGCGGGATTCTAATCCTGTGCTCACACTGGATGATGAGCAGATAGAAGTAGTTGAGAAGTTCGTGTATCTAGGTAGCTGCATAAGTGCTGGTGGTGGCGTGAGTGATGAGATCAATGCACGTATAGTGAAAGCCAGAGCGGCTTATGACAATCTGGGCCATCTTTGGCGCCTTCATGATGTCAGTCTGGCTGTAAAAGGTCGGATCTAAAACGCGTTGGTGAGAGCAGTTCTGCTCTATGTTTGCGAAACCTGGCCTCTCCGAGTTAAGGATGTTAGACGACTCTCTGTGTTCGATCACCGCTGTCTCCGAAGGACTGCTGACATCCAGTGGCAACACCATGTTAGTAATGCAGAGGTTCGGCATCGTGTGTTCGGGCACAGAGACGATAATGCAATCGATGTCACCATCTTGAAACATCGACCTCGGTGGCCTGGACATGTTCTACGAATGTCGTCCCAGAGAATTCCACGTCGTGCATTATTTGCCGACTCTGGGACTGGTTGGAAAAAGTAGAGAGGTGGTCAGTGTATGACATGGTGTCGGGGTATGAAAGAAATCTGCAAAGGGCTGGCTTGTGTTGATCCTTCACGACTCCCTGGTTGGGGTTCGAGAGATGTTGCAACGCAGTGGCTAGAGACGTTATCAGATATGGCTCAGGATAGAAGCCAGTGGCGATCCTTCTGTAACCTTCTTTTACTTTCTTCGTAAAAAGTGGTTGTGTTTTCCTTAACTGAAAGATTTCTTCTGATTGTACCTTTCCGTTTCCCCCACTTTTATTACTATTATTATTACACTACCATACAGTAATCTGTGGTTGTTATCGTTCTCTCTTTTTCGCACCTTACATTGTTTTTCTCTTCCCATTCTCATTATTTTGTGTGGCGCATATATATCTAGTGCCCTCTTGTACCAATATTTATGTGTTCAAATAAATAAATAGTCTGCCAGGGAAGTTCAAATCATTGCTTTCTTATAGCGGGGGTGTTGCTTACGAAAGCAAGAGAACGACGATCGGACTCCTAAATTTTAGACAGGATTAAGTGATAGAGAAGATACATACGGCGTTGGTAAACTATGATTTTAAGCTAATGGTGAGCATTAGCTGAAAAATCCCAAGGGAACAAATAGCATATGAACCTACTTTGGCCATGCGCAACCATGAGATTCCATCTTCCGATGTTACTTTAGTACCTTGGAAAGTGACCTCCTAAAGAGACCACCTGAATCCGTTTGGGTCCCCTAGCAGTAATGCAGCTCATATACCTATTTTATTTCATACGGTGTATACTATTTTTTGGTGTCTATTTGTATCAAATTTTATATGAATTAAAGAAATAAATAGATAATTAGTCGACTTTAAGCATTTAATTTACAACTATTGAACTGTAAAATGTAATAATTATAAATCACTTTCACCGTATGATTATCTTCAACATTTCATTATCAATTCAACACCTACATAAACAGTTTCTACAACTTCATATACACTACTTGTGTTTGAACATGAACAGTTCACTCCTCAGATAGTACATGAAGTTAATAAAAAACATTATTGAATCTCATAGAATCTATTCCATAATCAAATGTTGAATAACTTTCATTAGAATCATTGTTATGTAACTTGTTACTGATGCTATCGGTAATAACTAGATACTTATTTTAATAAAAAATTAATAAGAGAACATGTCAGATGATTTTCGCGGAGATAAAATCAACAAATTACTCGTAAATTATAAAACTGACATAAGAAAGAAGAAAAAAAACGCCTGAAACACGTGTACACTTTCATAATGCAATACTGCCATTAAATGTTGTAAAACTACAATATTTATGCTATAAATTAACTTTACAAGAAAAAAAATACCAACTGCCCAATAGAAAAAGCGATTTCTGAAGTAGAACATAAAATTTTCTTGTTGAAAATTAAACCACATTTAGCCAAAACATACACACACAGAGATATATACATAAACAATGAAGTGTAGTAATAAATGATGAATGAATGACCGAGTGGATATCTAATGAGAATCAGATGAATATTTATATTAAGGTTATGAATGATGATTCATTTTTATTAATGACAACAAAAATTGGCTGATATTAAAACGAATGTAGTTTTTATAAGCAAAATGGAGCGTAGCTAGCGATGGAATTCAGGACGCGCGTTTCGTCCTATATGGGACTCGTCAGCTGGATGTACCTTCATCTTAGAGTTGATGTTCACTTCGGAACTCGAACCCAGGATCGTTTGCTACAAACACTATCGCGTTATCCATTTAGTTTATAAATTAAGGGCATGATCATGAGTATAAATCTTAAAAAAAATGGAGTGTGATTACAGGGTTATTAAAATATCTGCTCAATATTTCTAAGTGTATACTTATTATTCACCCACATACAAATAAAGACATATTATAGTATACTGAAATACAAATTATCTCCTCTAACTATAATCAAGTTCGAACTTGAATTTAAACTAGAGATTTATTATTAACAGTATGGGGTTGTGGAGACTATTAAGTTTTAATTGAGATCTTGAACCAATTGATGTTAGACCATCACAATTGAAAACCTGGAAGCACTGGACGGCCGTTTCGTCCTATTGTGGGACGGTAATCACTGCATAAATTATTCACCTTTATATTTATTATAAAACAATTATAACCGTTTATACCAATTTTTACAATTATTAATATTATTGAGTGGGTGCTAAGTATGAAGAGTACAGAAGGTTGGAAAATATGAAAAAATTGTTTATTCATACATAGAGGGGGATGCAAATAATAATTAATTTAGATTATAGTTGTTGTTGTTGTTATTTACAAAAACTGGATGTTAAATGACCCTATTAACAGAAAACCTATAATATGTTAGTCTATTTCAAATGGTATGCACTTTTAAAATAAGAATTTTTACACGATCTGTACATAAAATACCTTAAACTAAATTATATTATTTATTCAGTTACATCCAGCTGACGAGTCCCGAATAAGACGAAACACATATTCGAGATTTTGTTGCTACCCACCATCCATATCTGCTTATAATGTTATTGATTAAAACAGAACAATAAATTATTAACTGAATTTTAATCTCAATAAGCTAAATTTGCCTAGTTGAATTAAAATAGGAAGAAAAATAGTAGAAATGAAGAAAATTTTCTATTCGGCAACTTCATTTTCATATTTACAAACTTGTTAACAAATAGGGAATAGTATGGAAACCTTCAGAATATGTTCGAGTCAAGAAGTAGCATTCATTTAAGAAACAGTAATAATTTCATTGTTTATGAAAAGATATTATGCAATATATAATAAGTGAGTAATGATTACAAAGTATATAGGTTGCAAATATATCTTTTGGAGGTATAGTGTCAGTTCGAATTCCTGAATTGATAGTGCTTCAGCATAACATATTAATTTCCTATTGATTTGTTATTTGAATAGTTCAGTTTAATTTTAGGTAGTATTCAAAAAGAGTCAACTTCTGTGGATTGACGAAGTGATATGTATTCAAAATACAAAATGATCATAGGACGTATTCATTTACTACCTTCAAATAAAATTCTACTGATGGATCTGACATTTCAATGGGAAATTGATGTGATTATCCTCTCAAAAATGATCATCAAAATCTTTAGGTAGAAAATCTTTTACCCCATTAATCATTAAGCTTTGTTGTTTTCCACACAACTAATTTATTAACACGAAAATGATAATAAGCTAACACATTGGGCTACATCAATATGCATTTATAAGATCCATTGCTCAAAAGGTGCTGATAACTTCAGCTATACTATGCGCTCATTTGAGAAATATACTCTTAAGTAATATACAATCTTACTAGTTAAAACGTGAACTCAAAACTATATGTAATTCTATTGCTCCCAAATGCCCTGGTACGGATAAGGGTGGGGAGAGCACGCTCCCCCTCCAAATGCTCTCAAATGGCCACACCTATACAGTCACTTCCAGGGAAGTCTTACTCGCTGCCTTCTCGCGGCGGGGTATTGTTTAAGAAGTCGAGAGGGCGAAAAGCAAGTGTTCAACGCTTTAAGCAGGTTGGTGGATATGGAGGATCCACCTAGAGTTGAAAAATTCCGATTCTAAACCGATGGTGCACATAGGCTCCAGGATCCTGAAGGAACAAATGGCGTATTAACCTATTGTTGGTCACCGACTACCATGGGACTGCATTTCCTAACGTTGCTCCACTGCCTTGTGGATTAGACCTCTAGGTCAAAGTCTCGGGGAATGGGCCTCTAAGAAAACCACCTGCTTCGGTTTAAAACAGGATGAAACCAATAATAATTGCTGCTAGAAAAAATCTATTAGATTTACATCGACACATATTGTATGCTCAAAATAAATCTTAATAATACATAGTTTAATCAATAACTTATGCTTAGAAAAGTATATGGAACTGGTTTACAAAAATAGAAGATGAATACTTTCATTCCTAATGCGTATCGCACACTTCAAGTTCATCAGATGTTCATAATAATCAATCTAACGAATCATACTCAATATTCACATTATCATTTCCTTTCAAGATGAGAACAAAACCAGCATTTTAGGCAGAAACTCAAAGATAATATATTGAAGAACTATAATATTCTGTTTGGACTAAATTATTTATAAGGAAAAAAACACCAAAAACTAGATTTCAAACTAATAATTCAACAGTAATGTATTACGTAGCACACAGTCTGGATTTTATGAGCTAAATTCTGAATGAGATTAATGACTTATAGAGAAGATGACCTCTCATTCCTCACCCTTTGAGGCTTTTTTAATACTATGTTATTACAAACTTCTAGACGATAACATTGTTCTCTATAATGTGTGGTTGGTTTAGTTATGAAGTTTACTATGCCAGAAATACGATATCACCAGCATCATTTCATGATAATAGTACAGTAAACTAACCAGGACGATATTCAAAAGAAAATAAGGTGGAATCATCCATTTCATTACACATTTCTCCATTAGATTTCAAATATTTTCCATTCGGCATTCGGAAGGCAACACGACCAAGACGTGAAACAGCAGCTTTGCCAACTAAAGGGATATTTGGACCACGACCAAAACCTTGACTTGCAACCATTGTAGGCTGTTCAATCCAAATAACAGACTCTGGACCCCATGGGTATGGTTGATCAGCTCGAAGCTCAAGACCATCGTTAAGAAGACGTAAGTAACGTGAACGGAACTGATGACGAATATGTACCTTGACAGAAAACATAATCAACACAAAAGTTAGCTGAGTTTAGTTAGATGTTTGACGTTTAGTAAACGTCTAGATAACTCATATCAGAGTATATTGCAAACTTATCAATTAAAAACTGAAATAAACTGTTTAGAATTCATGTTTTGTCGATTCCTACAGAACTATATCCAGTCACCTTTTAAAATGGAAGTTTCTTTATAAACAGATTTTATACAGTTTATGTGGATTATAGTAAGATATGTACAATTGACCAAAGAGAAACTCACTAATTAAGTTTCATTTTATCATCACACTCGTTAATGAGGTCTGAATGTTTAGCACCCATTTTAATTTATTAAAGATCAAAATACTAACGAATAATTAGACTCCATTTCACTTGAGGCTGACATTATAAAATATAAGTGACCAAACATGTTCAACTCATTACTAAAATAGTAGTTGCAGTAGTAAATTGTCATCTAAAACTTGACAAACATACACGGAAACTTAAATTACCATCAGTTAACTTGGTTACTCATCGCGTCATTGATGAGTTAACTATTTTTGCTGTTTAGATACAACTCAGTAATCACGTGCAGGTTTGCTAAATTATGAGGTACACATGTTTACTCAAACTTCAATAATTTAAGGGAGATTTAGATTTGTGATTTGTCAGTTGAAAGTTCGGTGCATAAGACAGAGTCAGCATAACTTGTCCATGGACAGGTAGACATGTAATTTAATGATCGAATTTATCCTGCTAAATGGCTGTTAAACTAAAAATGCATGCTTTATGACGTCCAGTGAGATATCAACCATATCTATTGGAGAGTATAATTCAATAATCAAGTACAGATAAGTTTAATAGACTTTGAGGAACACTTGTATGAAAGTTCGAGACATCATGAACTGTATTTGGTTCAATCAAATTAAGTAGGAAAACCCATTGACATAGTAGTTAGAGGATAAATGTTTAAACCGTTCAGCCAAAACTTTCACATCTCCAATTTCTTCAACTGAGGTTCACACAGTAAGTTTTAAAATGTTATACATAATCTTACTTGAGGATGTGTTGCTAAACGAAATGACCACCAGACAGGAGATTTGGAAAAACATGAAACTTGAGTATCGGAACCAGTGAGATAGAAACCATATGCATCTGATTTAAAAGCCCATTCACCTGTACCATCTGGTGCGAATTCTAAACGGAAACGTTCTTCGCAATCTAGGCAGACAAAATACGTTGTAATATAAATGTGAAGAAAAATGTTACAGTGGAAATAGATACTAGCAGAACCAAGATACAAACTAAAGAATAACTTTGAAAATCAAATTTGTATCTATAATAATAATAAATTAATATTATTACCTAATTTATCACCAGGTACAAATTTATCCACTTGGCTTTGAACCACAAGGGTGGTGATACCAAACGGTTACTTGAACCAATTTAAGTGAACCAGGGTTCGAATCAGTGATTTAGTGGCTGAAAGCTCAACACTTTAACCAATGAACTACTGTTCCACTATATCTAACCTTGCTCAACAGGCATATTTTAGCTGTTAACCATGACCGAAAACATACTAACACTATTGTCAGTACAAAGAGTTTACAGAAAAAACAAAGAATGGTAATTTCAGTTGAAATAAACAATGAGTACCAGGAAGACTCATTGAAAACCATATTAAGTATATATTTTGTTTAGATATGATCAGTTTGTGAAACCATGAACGTATGTGCTAAATTCTACGTAGAAAATTATGATTATCCTGAAGCGCACACATCAGTATTCCAAATCTATTCAACAAATAGAATGAAAAAAAACTGCCATGATGGTGAATATTTATCTCTAAGGATGAAGATTATCAGGGTGTTTTGTTCTCCAAGCTAGAAATACTAGAAATAAATCCATGAACAAACAAGCTCCCATAATAAGTTGCAATCATGAATATTGTGATAATTAATATTAAATGAGATGAAATAGACTACGTTACGTCAGTCAATCACTATTAATATTATTAATAATAATAATAATAATAATAATAGTTCAGTGACTACATAATAAAATCTCCTTGATCGATAAATATTTGGTGGCAATTAGGAACTAGAACGTATCATTATTTTTTAATTCGGGGACGAAATCAGTTGAAACACCTGACACCGTAACACTATAATCCATATTATTAACAATTTAATACATACTAATGAATCTTAAATCCCTTAAACTAAGAAACTTATTAAATCTAATGTAAATTGACAGTTGAAACAAAATATTTAAAAATGAATCTAATCAAGGCGATTTTTTAAAGAAAAAATAAACAGCATGATATTATGTTAGCTCAGTACAATGAATAACAAGCCCTAAAATAGCAAGAACACCTATATGGAAAAAGTCGATTACAGACAGAATAATTACTTAACCAAACTATCTGATTTGATTTAACTATTCAGACAAACTTAAATAAACAATCATCTCATTTATTTATCAAGTTTTCTTTTAAATAATAAATTTCGGACGGTTGGATTGAAAAGTAATTTATGATAATAAATGTCTATATTTCAAAAGTTGAAATCATGAGTCAATTGAAACTAGACCACCATGGAAAACCTGGAAGCACTGGATGGCCGTTTCGTCCTAGTGTGGAACTCCTCCGTAGTTCGCACCCATGATCCCGCCCTACGCGAGTTTCGAACCCAGGAATCCCATACTAGGATGAAACGGTCGTCCAGTGCTTCCAGGTTTTCCATGGTGGTCTAGTTTCAATTGACTCATGATTTCAACTATTGAAATTACTAAAATCTCCACAAAACCGCTTCTGAAAATGTCTATATCACTCCAATATGTCAGCTTGACTATCTTGGGATCAGAAGATGATACATTCATCTATATGAGGTGTGTGATGAAGTATTTATCGTTAAAGAGTTTCAGACCAGTACATAATGTTTTCATTTTCTCACGTACAATGATAAATCAACCAATACTGCTTTAAGATATACATTGAATTCTGAAATATTTGAAATCCATAATTTCGTCCTAATTCGGGACCTATCAGAAGCGTAAATCCCTGGGTCGATCCATGAATCCAAGATCTACAGATCCCCTGACTGAGCGTGTTAATGTTAAACGATCAACATTTCCAATTTAGGTCAATTTTTTGGAACAAAGCAACGAAATAAATAAATAAATATAGATTTCAGGTAGTAGCAATTCATAGGTAACATTCCGTTGCATACAATGTATATGGATGAATTAGGGTAAGAAATAGAGGAAAAATCACTAGAATACCTGATTTTAAAGATGTACTTATTTTCCATCCTTATTAACTGATAAAAATCGACCCAATGAATTTTGTAAAAACAAAGTATCAGCATTCTTTCGATCCGTAATTAAAGACCAAACTTGACGTCGTCGTAATGCTGTTCCAGAAATATTAATTTCATTGTTAAATACTTCAGCTGTAAGAAATCGCCCAGACGGAATATGAAGAATCCCTATCTTAAGACATTCATTAAAATCTTCATAAATTTCGTTGTTACTCATTTATCAACTGTAAACAAAATGTAATTTAATTTGATATAAAAAAAGAGCTTAATTTCGAATGACACAAACAATCAACAAACGAATTTAAAAAATACTTTAACAAATAGATTTAATAAAATTATATTTTCAGCAATTGATTTAGAAAATCCCGGCTCAGTGGTCTAATGGTTAAGTGCTCGCGCGTGAAACCAGTAGGTCCTGGGTTCGAATCCCGCGGGGTGCGGGTCGTGGATGCGCATTACGGAGGAGTCCCATATCAGGACGAAACGGCCGTCCAGTGCTTCTAGGTTTTCCATGGTGGTCTAGATTCAATTGGCTTATGATTTCAACCAGTGAAATTTCTAATAATCTCCACAAAACCCATTCTGATAAAATCCCGATAAGTTTACTTTACTAGATAGTCTTATGAAATATCAGTGTTCCAAAATATATCCAATCTGATACTGAGAGTGGTTATGTGAACAGATGCGTTATAAAATTTCAATGTAAGTTCGAATTCAATTAGTTTTGTGAGCGCGTGATTTTCAACAATCATTTTGAAGTTTAGTATGTTTAGTTCCGTTAGGAATGTGGAACCCTCAAGAACTAAGTTTTTGGAGAAATCAATTTTTAGAAAACAAATCTTGAATAGCTGATAAAATTCTGTCATTGTTAATTATTATTAATCGATACATAGTTTGAATAAAGTGGAATTTAATTCTTCTGAACCTTTTCCAACACACGCTTACAAGACTTCTTTCATTTCCAATCATCTTGGGAACTATTGTTGAAGTTTTGTGCATTAATCGTCCAGTTTATCCAGTTAGCATAGATATCTTTTTAATATTAGAAGAATCTCTGAGTGAGAAATACGGGACCCAAACTCAATGCATAATAAATTGAATATGAATAGAGGGGTAGTTGCTTTAACTTGTATAAAAGGAATAATTCCAATTCAAGTAAAATAATCTCTACTTCAATAATAAGTCTCACTAATTTCAATGTCTAACAGATCATTTAGCTGGTAGTTTCCAGTAATATTATCTATTCTCAAGAGTGAATTTCTTACATCCAACTCACCAGTGAACATCAGAACCAAGTTATTCAAACAAACATACAGATATAGAATCGTTCAAGGATATATTGCTCGTTCCAACTGAAGTCATGAAAAGTGAGTACTTAAAAACGTAAATATTTTTCATAATCGGATTTGCATTTTTTTTAGCGATGACATTAACATGGTTCATTCTGAACGGTAATATGGACCATACGTTTTAATGATGGGACAACTGATGGTTATCCGGCTATTGACAAAATGTTTTCCTATGTATTTAGAAGGCAATGTATGTTAGCCTCTCATAACCAAAGTACGAACTAGTAAAAATTCTCGTCAACATAAGCAGCCACACCACATTGGTATAGCGAAATGAAATTGGTATTATCAGCGATAATAAAAAGATAAGGTATAGACAATATGATTCAAGGAGAAAGAATGAATTCGTGGAATTAGAAGTATAAAACAATTTCGAAAAAATAGTTGTGCAGACTCCAACCAGGTGTTCTCCACTTGCCAACATGGATCAGTACAACAGTTAATAATTTCATGAACAGATCTTACATTTTCATTTAGTTGCTCCAGTTTTTTTAACCTGTTCCAGCGTATATTAGGCATTGAGATACGTAGTGGTTGAGCATTAGTAATACATATTGCAGCCATCTCAGTCAGTGAAGACTTACAATCTAATCAACCGACTCGTTATCTCTGCCTGGTACCCCACATCTAAGCTCATTCTTGATCACTCAGTAGTCACAAAATACCCGAGGAAAATCTCATAAACAACGTATGATCTGGCAAAATATGTACCAGCCTAAGCTGCCATATTAAACATCAGTACAGTGAAACAAAACAGACAGATAAATATCAAAGGAGTCGCAATAACTGTATTTAACTGATAATGAAAAGTGGATAAACAAATAAGACCAGAACCAACATGTATGCAGGATAATATGAATTCATTATATTTCGTGGTTTCTTATCAGCTGTTTACAACCAAATATGTATTAGAATTTTACATAGAGATAAGATAGTGTGAAACAATCGACATAAGTGCATGTAAAGAATTGGAATGACAAATGTTATCAATATATATATATATATATATATATATATATATATGCAAGAACAGGTCGGAGGTCATTTGGTGTTAAGATAAAAAAAAACATGAGGGATGAGTGATGTAATAATTGAGTGAAGTTCAAAGACATATAGGATAAATCGTGTGATAATTTTAAAGGTAATAAAGGTTTGCAAAAGATTCCTGGAATTGAAAAACTGGTAAGATGGGTTGCGTAATAATTAAATAAGACTTGATGAGTTCACATAATTTGGTGAGTGAAGGGGGGTGGTTTAAATGTAATAGAAGAGAAATATAACAAACTAAACATTAACAAGATAAAACTAATGATCAAGATTGAATTACCGGGGTAATAATAGGTTTATTACTCTCTTTTTGAATATATAGATTGCGATAAAAAAAGACAGTAATAAACCGATTACTACCCTCAATGAACACAAGACAATCCTAGCTACCACTGAAATATTTGACTAAAAATCCTGAATTATGGTTAGCAAGATCATATTTGAACAAAATTTACCCCTGACACAGTCTTGTACGGTTTTACCCTAAGTATGATCAATTTACAGCTATTTAAATGATTGGTAATTCTGCTTTTATGAATCCAGACACTATACATGTTTGTAAATAGTGGTTAAGTGACGCGTATATTTTGGTCAAATTATTCCAAGTTGAAAAGAAACAACTAATTAATGCACTAACAGATCGATAGGGATGAATGACACAGAGACTATTTTACCCAAAGAAAGTACTGAACGTAACGAATGACAAATGGTAGTGGTATCATTAATCTATTTTTAACTGTTTACAGTGAAGGGCAGTTTTTAAGAAGTGTGAAAATTTTCAGAGATGTCAGAAGTTACAAAAACATCTTAAAAAGACCAGAGTAGCAAACTCATTTACATACTTGCATTAGGACAAAAAATATACTGTGTAAATGGGAAATATTACCTAACTACATACCGTAGCATTTAAAAATGTTGTATTCTGTGGAAAAAAACAGTGGGCGCTTAGGAAAAAACAAATAATTTTCTATGACCAAATAGTATAAGTAATAAGTGACTTGTTCAAAATCACTTAGTATTTGGTGGCAAACTAAAAATCCAATGTCTAAAGTACAGGGAAGCAGCAATGAATTACAAGTTGTAAACATCACTGACATACCATAGAGAATAACATGCTATTTGAGGTAGGTCTCTAGGATTTATAGAGATGAAATCCACTGGTTGTTAGTTAGGACGGCCAATTAGTTTATAATTGCTTTTTACACGACTGGTTTATTAACTGACTATATACTTATGAAATCAGTTTAACATTAGTATAACTACGAACGAATACCTAGCAGGGAATATATGCAAACGTATAAACACTGATCGGAACTGTACGCAACTATATTACATGTATATACATCTTCAAATCAAGTTTATATTTAATGGTTTGGTCGAATCAACTAGAGACCATCTAACAATTTGTACTTTCCAGTCAACCATTTCTCATCGCATTGTATAACAAAGCGGTTGTAGTAACAATCTTATATTTTCAATCATACGGGAAAATATATAATTTGTTCTGACAAAACTATCTTTATTGATTTCAAGTCATTTTTTTATTGTTAAAATAACACTCCAAGACAATGAGACTTCATTTCAAGAATCTAACAAAGGCAAACTTATTAACAAGTTGAATAACTTACGTATATTCGTTGGCAATTATAATATTCCAAAGAAGACTAACCAAGTAGGGAAATAGTCCAAACAACAGTTAAACGACTTGACGGATACTTTGATGTCAAAACGCTGTCTATTAATAATATATCGATTAAAATAACTGACTTGCCATTGGTTTAACATTTAAATAGGTCAGTCTGGTTAGCGTATAAAGGCAAAAATAAAATAAAATTGATCAACCAATCAGTATGGCGATAAGGGAGAGAAAATTTATTGTACGGTATAAAATGCTTTTGATATGGGTGACTCACATTTTCTGTTGCTCACGTGCTTAATGTCTACCATAACAAAGGAGTTGTACCATGGATACAATATTTATGTTAGTTAAGTGGTCACTCCACTTTTATGCGATGCCTTGAGGGACTGACTTTAGGTTGGTCAACCCTTCACTATTTACTTACATTATATGCAAACTAATTCACTGAAGGATAACCATTCAAGTTTCATCTTTTCTATGATTTTCACCTCTATATAGAAGCCTTAGTTTCCTGAGGTCATTTTTATAACAAGCCGATTATAAACCTTTATTTTCCATTTGATTCAATTTTACTGAATGATAATTTGACCAAGCTTACTCTCAATATGTATTTATGCGATACTTCTGTAAAGGTTAATTAAATTTCCACAGCGATAACATATTTATTAAGCATTCATTTTGTCTTTCTCTTGTGCTTTAATAGTGTTAATACTAATAGTTCGACAATCTCCACAAACCATTTACATCACCAATAGTAATCATATGTACATTGGTGACTAATTTAAATATGTTGGGGATTAGATGACGTTAGGAAATAATTGTGCAGTACCACGTATCGACTGAAGGGAGAAATCTAAACAATTGATTGCCAACTCACTGGTTTAGAGGTTACGCGCTCTCTACAAAATATGAAGGTCTGAGTTCAATCATGTGTAGGGTCGTGAATGCTCACTGCTGATGAGTCCCATACCAGAGCGAAACCGATATCCATGCTTCTTGGTTTTCAGTAGTGGTGTAACTGTGGTCAATCAGTGAAGAAAACTAATAAAATACACTTCTCAAGTGAACGAATACATGAAAAATTCTCTTTTGAACAACTTGAAATTCGTTAACATAACTAAATGGTTTGTGATAAGTCTTGGAAATTGAACGCTACATCCGTTTCCTAAGTTATTTTCTGTGACCCCCAAGCTAGAACTATACAGCGACCTGAACAACGAGAGAGAAGACGCAAGTATGCCAGAAGTACTATACTCCAAGGTCCACTTTAACAGAGAAAATATAGGATTTTTTAAATATTTTAAAATGTCCTTAGGTTGCACGAAGATTCTGGAATGCTACTAAACATAGTAGCAGTATAGCAATCAGAACCTCTACATGTGACGTCTCACTTCCTTGATATTTTTGGCTAAAAATTCACGTGAACGCTGGTTGGATGAAACGCTTCTTAGTGTTTCCTGATCCTTGCTTGTCTTTTGCAAGAAATTTTCTGGATCACTCCAACAGTTTATACAGAGCTGAATGGTAATTCTGATCAAGGTTTATAGTACAAAGTATTAACCATTAACTAATATAGTAGAATCACTGGTATTTTGTTGCTAAAAATATTACAGAGGAGATAACACGTGAAGCTCTTACCATGAGAATTATTCCACGTGTTAGAAACAAGAATCAGTTTTTTAACAAATAAACAATACCCAGCAGGATACATGTATCATTAAAATAGGTAGTAATTTGAATGCTGATGTGGAATGTTAGTGAATTCAATTTTCCTATTATCTTATATTTTATTCCATCTCTTCACTTTCATGATTCTAGTTGGTTAATCAATTAAATTGAATGTTTATACACTAATTACGATGGCTTTCAGATGTGCATTAATTATTAATAAGAGAATGACAAAAGGAGTGTAAGATTACTTATTTTCTAAAAATTGACTCAAATTTTAACCATATCATCTAATCAGGCGATGTATAATGTTATGAGTGAAATACTCGTGTCTTAGTCTTATTATTTGCATCCTTGATCATGTTTTTAAGTTTGATTTGTCTGTCCAAAGATTTATTGAAAGCCTTCAACTTCCTTCTTTCAAGTTTTTTATCGTAGATCCTGTCTATACTTTTTAATCTGGTTCTAGGTTGTGTCTGAATTAAATATTCGTGTTTTATTCTGATATATTGTCAACTGCATTTGGTGTATCTGCTCACTAACCCTAAGAAGATAAACAACATTGGAGGGGATCATTTATGTTTGGAATTAGATTGAATTAATAGAATCATACAACTAAAGTTGTCAACATGAATTAACCTTTTCTTTAAAGTATATTTAGAGTACAGTGACATGATGCACATTGTGTGCAGATTCAGTGAGTGTGTAAAAGTTCATTTCTCGTTAAATCTTCATTTTAATGTGATTCTATCACTGTTGAATTTCGAGAAATCATGATCAATCAGTCTACAAGCATTAAAAACAGAATGTCATAACTTTGTACATCTTACGAACAATATACTTTATATTATTGTAAAAATAACTTTTGGAGTTATCCATCGAATTTCGTTCAACTTCAAACTTCTCTTATTGATATGCCAAATAAGACAACACAGATTTGAGAATACCTCAGGAGTCTATTGTATATGAGAATCAAATATGAAGTGCTATTGTTATGAGTGAGTAAATAATTTATCTAGCTAAGGTTACCATCTACATACCATTGTCTTAATCAGCATGTTCACCTTTAAACACAAATGATTAGTAATCATTAGAATCAGGTCTCTTAGAAACCTATTTATCTCCTTCTTATACGTAGTTGAGTTTGTTAGGTACGTCAATTAGATAACCTATAATATTTTCATATATATGAAGCTATAGTAATCAGCATAAATATATCTTTTTACGTCAGTGATAGGTTGGTACATTCTTTTTTACCCGTCTTTTATCTTGTCAAATAATCCCTGGAAAATCGCGCTTAAATTCCTCATTTTTCATCCTTATAGAAAAAAGCATAAAACTGTGGATCTATCAAAACATACAAGACAATTGGCATCAGCTAATCTAGAATTAGTCTTTTTTTAAAGCGATCTTAACAAGTAGACAAAGATGGCCAGACATCATACACTTATCCAGTGAAACTATCTATTAAAATACAAAACTAGATAATAAGGATCAACTATACTTCAACAACAGATTCAGATAAATGAGCTAGTTACTCACAGCATAGGTATTCCTTAAAGATACCGAAGCTGTTAAATCCACAGGGAATGAATATTAACTGGATAGAATAAATTTATATATGTGTGGTGGTTAGTCGTAGTCTGGAACAAACCCTGGATCTAAGATTTAAATAATTACAATAATTGGTCAATAAATAGTGACCAATATAATGTTCAACTAGCGATAAAATAAACTTAAGTTTAGGTTTTCCTTAGTGATCATTCAGTATGAACACTTACGAATATACTACCATGGTCACTACGTTTACTTATGTTGCATTCTCTCTGAAGGATATGATCGAATGTTGTGATTTCAACAAGTGGGTATCAGAGAAGCATTTTCATCAGTACATCCAAATCATTATCTATAGATGTCCTGTACCAAATGTATCGTTAAAGATCCCATAAGTAATCAATTGGGACTTCCAGTATAATCTGATTCCTATGTTCTTGTTTGACGCCATCGATAACAATACGAATAAGCTACAAGATGACGTAATCAACTAATAACTATTCAGACCGAGTAGCAGTAGCAACTAACTATTTTTCTTCTATTGTCAGTTTTGGATGTTTTAAATAATCCTAGTTCTAAATAACGTAACTAAGTATAGTTCTGATGATGTCGACTCTACACAAGTGGGATAGTTGCACACTATGTTTGTACATTTACTAATCTGCCAAGCAAGTTTAAGTGATTAATATGAGTAATTTACGACTAATCATTCCGGTTAAATATAAGTAGTAATGACTGACTAGAAACCTGTACTTTAATCTTATCGGGTACCAGCAAATATTTTTATTCTGACTGTAATTAAAATTTCACATTCACTGACATCACTCCACTCTTTCTAACCAACACACACACACACACCAATTTTTATGTTATTCATATCTAAATATATCTTTAACCTTACATGATCACAAATATTTGTTTACCATACACCGAATTATCATCATATCAGTAAATAATATGAAGTGTAATTAACACCATTCTGAGTCACCATGTCTGATAAATTTTCTATTGAGGTCACTGAATGAAAACACTTGTATTTTATGTGTATTGTAATCTTAATATGTAGGCACTAGATACAAAGTTATTTAAGAATAAACAGTGAATTCAACCCATATAGTATAATAATGATAATAATAATTCAAATAAGCCTCTGAATTATTCAGAAGAATGAAATTTCAATTACGTTTTATGTTAGAAATGACGTGTGAAATTTATTTATTGAATGCAAATTTCCCAACTGTATTATCCAATCAACTTACTAACTAGTTGAATAATATATTACTGTTGTGTATTAAAAATTCAATCAGAAGAAGAACAATCAAACATATCTGTAACTGATAGGAACGATTTAAATGTTAGTTGTACGAGTAGTTGAACTGTTTAAGTGAGATTCTGATATACACGGTTTCAGTAATTATGCCCAACTTAGTATGTGAATGAGAAGATTAAGCATAATAAGGAAGCTGTAATCGGTAAACTGAATAGAAATACACAACTTCCTCAGATATGTAAGTTAAGAAAGAAACCAGATTTCATATAATAAAAAAATATGACAAGAATTCTAACGTTTTTAATTATGTCAGTCCATTCAGTTTGTTGACTTACCAAAGTTATTTCTGATAGATTGAAAGTGTTTTTGATCGAGTACTGTTTCCCATAAATTTATGAATGATGCTATGCTTGCATGACATTATTCAATAATTACCACCTATTGTAAAGTATGACTAATCAGTTTTACAAATGATAGTTTCTACAGAAATGATGTACCTCACTAACAAGGTTATAGACAAATTAGTGGTATAATATAAAATGTCAACGATATTATTAATCATATCATTCCACTACTTAATGTCAAATGATAATTCCAGTTAGTCACTACAAGGGTATATCTATGTAACGGATGGGATTGAATTTCAGAAGACATATATGACTTTCAAGTGTATCAATAAGACAGGATTATCAAATCTAGCTTTAAAAGTATTTTAATGGAAAAAATGCTAGTAGGATGAATAGATAATTAATAATAATGATAATAATAATAATGAAATCAGAATGGGTTTAGTGGAGAGTATTAGAAATTTCACTGGTTGAGATCATGAGTCAATTGAAACTAGACCACCATGGAAAACCTGGAAGCACTGGACGGTTGATTCGTCCAGTATGGAACTCCTCAGCAGTGCGCATCCATGATCCCGCCCCCACGAGATTCGAACCCAGGACCTATCAGTCTCGGTTAGACATTGACACCTTTGGATGCCGGCTCAGTGGTCTAGTTGATTAAGCACCTGGCGCGAGACTGATAGGTCCTGGGTTCGAATCTCGTGGGGGGCGGGATCGTGGATGCGCACTGCTGAGGAGTTCCATACTGGGACGAATCGACCGTCCAGTGCTTCCAGGTTTTCCATGGTGGTCTAGCTTCAATTGACTCATGATTTCAACTAGTGAAATAATAATAATAATATAATAATGATAATAATAGTAATAGTAACAATAATAATATTATTATTATGATTATGATGTAAGAAACCTGTGCATAGTGTAGAATCACTACAACTTCAGACGGCAAGTTGATCGATAATATATTCAGTAATTCAATTTTCCAAGTGTTATAACAGATACTAAGATATCTGATGTTACATAGGAAAGGAAAGTATACTTGATCTAATCAAGACAAATTACAAATATGTTACATGTATACCATTACTATGAATGAATGAAAATGTACCTTAATTTGATAGTTACGATTTCCTACTAACTATTTTAATATATTTCTGATGTAGGTGATGATGTACTTTAACCATCAAGAGTTATTAAGCTATCATTTGTAGAAGTCAAGATATACACTGAATTCATTAGACTTAAATCTTATTTAAAAAGAAACAAAATTTAATAGGTTAACAATTGCCAGATATTTTATGTTAAATTTCTTTGACTAATTGTGTTACTTCGAGGAGTTTTCAAGGAGTTAATAATAGTAAAAAAAAATCAAACTACCACTGTGTGGAACATTTGTAAAGAGAGAAGTGAAATCCAATACGATCATTTTCCCATCATTTACATTGATATTTCTAATCGAGTCGATAAAGTCAAATGAATGGATAAATAAATACGAATATACAACATAAGTAAATGACTTTGTCGAAAAGAAAAATTTCCTCACTGAATTCTCTTTATTTTTATCCAGTGCATATCATTAATCACGAAATGGGCCAAAGATCTAAACGATCACAACTACACGGTTAAGGCGGCTGTTAAGGAACGTATATAGACCATAAAACTTTAAAATCTTATCAATCCATATTAAGTCAAACACGAAAATGTTACCAGTTGGAATCACTATATCGGACGATAAGGTACACAATCCGTAGTTACTTTGCTACATAACGCTATGGTGTATCTTCGTTTATATTAATAAAAAT